TTATATATATATATATATATATATATATATATATATATATATATAGATAGATAGATAGATAGATAGATAGATAGATAGATTAGAAATATTAGATAGATTGATCGATAGATATATAGGTAGATAGATTATAAATATTAGATAGATTATAAATATTAGATAGATGGATAGATAGATGGATAGCTAGATAAAAAAATATCAGATAGATAGATAGATTAGAAATATTAGATAGATAGATAGATAGATAGATTATAAATGATAGATAGATAGATAGATAGATAGATAGATAGATAGATAGATTAGAAATATTAGATAGATAGATTAGAAATATTAGATAGATAAAATTAGATAGAGATTGATAGATAGATTATAAATATTAGATAGATTGATCGATAGATAGATTGATAGATAGATTATAAATATTAGATAGATTGATCGATCGATGGATAGATGGATAGATAGATAGATAGATGGATAGCTAGATAAAAAAATATCAGATAGATCGATAGATAGATATATAGATAGATAGATTATAAATATTAGATAGATAGATAGATAGATTATAAATGATAGACAGATAGATAGATAGATAGATAGATAGATAGATTAGAAATATTAGATAGATAGATAGATAGATAGATTATAAATGATAGATAGATAGATAGATAGATAGATAGATAGATAGATAGATAGATAGATTAGAAGTATTAGTTAGTTAGATAGATAGATAGATTAGAAATATTAGATAGATATTCAGTAGATATAGATAGATAGATAATCAGTAGATTATCTATCTTTCTAAATCAGTCTATAATCAATAGATAGACTTATCTATCTATCTATCTATCAATAGCTTATGAGTATGTGCACTTGTCAGACTGACGTTGCGTCTTCCTGCTTTTCAGAATCTTGCACCATATTTTTAAGGTGCCATGTCAAGTTAAAAGTAGTTCAGCTTTGAAAAACGTCCCTTGGGAGCCCTGATTTGTGTTCCATTCTGCTGTGCTCCATCTAGCTGTCTTTGAACACAAGAACACGTCCTGCTCTCAGCTTCTGCTCTCAGTAAATGTGCTTTACATGGTGCCTGTAGCTCAGGTGGGACTGTGCTGACTGCAGACTCAAAAAACACAAAGCAACAACAAAATACCTTCTCTTTCATTTCATATATATAATTTACTTAAAATATAAATTATTAAAATAAATCAATTGTTTTATTAAAATCTTTAATAATTATAATACTTTAAAATATAACAATTAAACATAACGATAAATACCAGCACAGCACTTTACAGTATGTATGTGGGTCATATGTATTTATGAAAAAACTGGAATAAACCACTTTAGTTTGCATTAGTGAAGCCATATAATCAGCTGTAAACAAACTGTTGTGCGTTGAGTACCTATCCTGAAAGACTTGAAGTGAAACACTTCATCTTTCACCACTGGGGAACCTTTAATGATGCTAAATTGCTTTTGTTATTGCAGTGCTGATGTGGATGCTATGAATCGAAGAATTGATTGGTTTGTTTGTGTGCCTGACCCGTCTGAGAGAGAGAACGAGAGCGACACGAATGTTAAGTCTCATTAGTCTTGAGCCCAAACTCATCCTTACACAGCAGATTTCCACTCGACCCGACCCAGTAACCCACTCTGGTTCTGCTGCTGGTTCACCACACCAGACTGATTTACGACACATCTTGCCCACACTCACCTTTCTTGTCCCCAAAGAAGAGGGTCTGTTGTGCTGGATTTGACCACTGGAGGGAGGTGTTATCATTATAATCCACTCGGCAGGTCATGTTAGCCGTGCTACCCTCGACCACCGTCACATTCTGGGCGATGGGGAACTGAGCCTGGCTACCTGCAGAGGGACAGACAAGGAGAGAGAGAGACAGGTTTATAAACAAAGCACTGTTACACAAGAAAGAGGACAGAGGAGGACAGAAAGCACTCAGGTACTAGTGGGAAAACTGGTCTCATTATAGTGACTCAGAATCACGCCGTAGGGTCGTCATGGGGGTAGTATATTATTATAAAATAGCCATTTTCATAGCTAGATGATGATTGGTTAATAAAGAAATTTCCAACCAGGCAGTGTTGAGAATGCTACTTTACTGTAGTTTGCTAAGGTAAGTGCTAATTTGCTACATTAATTAAAGGGGTGGTTGACTGTTTTTTTTTTTTCTAGGCTTGATTGTGTTTATGGGGTGCAGTCTAAAGTGTTAATGCTTTGTTAAAAAACAAACGCATTATTTTTCACATAATTTACCTTTATTCTACACCGGTCTGTCTCTTCTCCTATAAACGTGCTGATCATTTCCTGCTTTTATGAAGTCCCTCCCTCAGAAATACGCGATGGGCTTAGATTGGTTAGCTAGTCCAGTGTGCTGTGATTGGCTAAACCGCCTCTAGTGCACGTCTAAACTTTTTGGTTTGTTGTTGTCTCATACTTTCAGATACGCTGTTATTTGTAAATGCTACTGCTTCTGTTAGCTTTTAATTTACGGTTTTATCTTGATTAAAGCTTTTATACAGTACAGCAACTGCACGCGCGTCCATGTTTAATGCTTCTCATATCTATGTGAAAATAAGTGTATAATTGGAACAGTTCATTGTTGGAGCTGAGCTGATGATCTAAATGAGAGAGAGAGAGAGAGATATGAATAGATTTTTTCGTGCACCCCTAGTTTTGATGGCATGGCAACAACTCTTCCTCTTCTCTAAAGCAGTGCAGTATGGCCTCGCCCCCTTCGTTGCATGTTTCCGGGGGCGGGGTTCATTGGTTTGTGACGTCACGAACCCAGGAAGTAACTTGTTGTAGTCCCTACGAGCCGTTTTTGTAGGCATTAAACTGCCTTAATTTTAAAGACGATATCTCAGTTTGCATTGAACTTTTAGCATCATAACTTTGCAGATATTGTTTGTTCAAACAGCAACATTACACACTAACGTTAAAAAAGTGAAATCACAATCAACCACCCCTTTAATGAAGTATGAGTGCCCCCTGCTGGCGTTATGTTTTATCATTCACCTTTAATTTTGAGACCACACCCTTCCCCTGTCAGAGAAATTCTTCTCCTGTGGGAGATCTGTTGATGTGCACGTGTCTGTGTGGAAGCCCACAGATTCTGAAGTGCGGAGGGAATATGACTTGTATTTATTAGTTTTCTGTTTCAGGTGTGATTCTGTATGTCCATCAGTTTACACTGTAATGATGCTTGCAAACTCCCGTTTGTGCCGTGAATCGTCTGTTTTAAACTAAAACATGGAAAACAAACGTTTTCTCATGCTGAGAGATAATGTGTTTGAAAAAATATCATATATGGTGTATATAGGCCTGTTCACACCAAGAATGATAACTATAAAGATAACTATATTTGCGTCCAAACCAGCAGAAGATATTGTCTGTTTATTCTAAGTACATGCTTGTCTACCTCTTTATATTTTCAAGCTTGTTACAGCAGGATTGATTCTGATTGGCTGTCAATCGTGAAATTGAAAAAAAAACATTCCAATGATATAGTTTCTCTGTGCCTTTATCGTTATAGCTGTGGTGTGGACTCTGCTATTCTATAATACTGAGAACGATTTTTAGAACTATATCTTTATAGTTATCTTTATAGTTATCGTTCTTGGTGTGAACAGGCCTTAATAAATGACACAACAGATGAGAACAGTTCCTCTGTTTTTATTTCAGCTCCATAAGACGAGGCATGTTACATCCGAATATTCTCTTGCCTTTTACTGTTGCTGTCAGGAATTGATCAATGAGGAGATTTGAATGAATCTCAATTACAGTGACAGTATCAAACATGAGCAGGTACATTTTCAAAAATACCACAGCAACAACAAGAACACCCTAAATAAAATAAACTAGTTAGGAAATATAGGAATTTGAATTTAAGAATTTTATTTAAATGAGCTGTTCAAATCATCACACTCTTATGGCAAATCTTGTTTAATTGGTAGTTAATTCCTATGAATTCATACCATTTTCGTACAATCTGCTTATGCGCAGTGACAATTAGATATAGGGGTGGACCTTCAGGCTTCTTCTCTTTTTTCTAAAGATCATACGTTTTTGTATGGAACAAATTGCATATATTTATACACATTTGCCACCATTTTGCCAAAGGATAAGGTATAGTTACATTTTTCTCATGAGAACAGGTTTGTCAAATGAACCAATTGACTAGCATGAATTAGATTTTCCAATAGAACACATGAGAGAGAGGACAGCTCGAATGAACTGAATCATTAGAATGAATCAGTCTTTCCATTGTAACATGTAAGAGAAAACAGAGTCGTTTAGATGAGCATATTTGATTATTGCCTAAATTGAGGTATTAAAAATAGCGATGTAGCATTTTGTCATGCTTCACTGCTATTCGTTAGTAAAAGCATAGTGTTTGTGGAAAAGCTATGCTACTGTCCACCATCCTACTGAAAAATACAGTTACGTTAGTTACTAAACGTCATAGTAACAGCTTTAATAAATTGTTATTGAATGGAAAAGAGCTGAACATTTAGTGCTTAGTGTATAACATATGGGTTTGGAACAACATGAGTAAATAATGACAGATTTTACACGATAAAGCATAATAAATGATAACTCTGCTGCTTTTTGTGTCTACAGTGGTCTAACAATGTTCTTTTGCCATAACTATACATCCTTTCGTACTTTATTGCATAGTTAGGATTCAGGAACAGCTAAATTGGTCCAGCTATCGTTATTGGTCCTACTGAATATTACATATAATAAGAACGTGTTAAACCTGTTAAACTCAAAATGATGGATTATTGCACACATTTAGCACAGCGCTTGGGTATAGAAAGCGAAACAATGGTGTAATTCTTTGCCTCTCTCTCTTTCTGTTCATTCTGACTTGGGATCAGCAGTAATTGGTAGCATGGCCTAATTAGAGCTAGTCATGTTCGGCAAGGGAGACTCTGCCACTGCAGCTGGGTGGCAAATTGACACATAATCCAGACTATGGTGGGCCTTCGATCCGAGTTAGCGACTGTCTTGTGTCTCATCTGGGAAAGGGGGATGGAAAGTATGTGTGTGTGTAAGTGTGTGTAAGGGGCATAGGGGACATCCAAGCCAGGCTTAATCACCCAGCCTCAGTGGATTCTGCTCGGACTTATTCCGCATTTGTTTTTCTTGTCTTGCTGAAAAGTAGCCTAACTGCTTTCCGGCTGCATTTCAACTCGGTCTTCCATTGTTTTAAAGATATTTAACTTGATAGAAAAAAAATCTCTCTTTCTTAACAATGTTGCAGGTGCTGTTGTACTGCAGTATTAAAAGTGAAGTGTGTACATTTATTGTATAAAAATACAGTAAAATCAATAATATTGTGAAATATTATTACAATTTAAAAGAACTATTTTCTGTTTGAATATATTTTAAAATTTAATTTATTCTGCTGATGGCAAAGCTGAATTTTCAGCATCATTACTCCAGTCTTCAGTGTGACATGATCCTTCAGAAATCATTCTAATATGCTGATTTGCTGCTCAACAAACTTATCATTATCAGTGTTGAAAACAGTTGTGATGTTTAATATTATTGCGGAAACTGTTATGTTTTTTGCCAGGATTATTTGATGAATAGAACGTTCTTATTTGAAATATAATTTTTTTGGTAGCATTATTAATGTCCTTACTGTCACTTTTGATCAATTTAATGCATCAATACAAGTAATTTATTTTCTTACAAATTAGCATGTTAAATGTCCATTATGCATAATTTAACATTCTGTCTAAAATATTAATAATATATTTATACAATACAGTAAATATATTAAAAATAGACTTACAATATTATGTAATTAAAAATACATAATATTAAATAAATCTTATTATTTTTAGATAGAATACCTCATTCTTATTATAATAAATTATAATAAAAAACCAGTTGTGCTACTTAATATTTTTAACTGTGTAATGCTATGGTTTTTCAAGAGTATTTGATGAATAGAACATGCATCCTTGTTCAAAGCATTATTAAAAAAAAAAAAAACTTTTTTTTTTTACAAATTAGCATGTTGCGCAATGGTGTGTAGCTGAATGTTATGTATAATATATATATATATAAATATATATATATATATATATATATATATATATATATATATATTAATTTGTTTAATATATTTACTATATATAATATAGTAAATATATTTAATTAATATTATATGAATAATGTATAATATAAAATAATGGCAACTATTAAATATAAATGTTTTTAGACAGAAGATCCTGTTCTATTTACAGCTAAATGGCAGGAACTGTAAAGTGGCTCGTAAATCAGCGTGTTAGCATGCATGAAATTATTCACAAGCTAATACTCCATCTCGTGGCAGTAGGGGATCACCGTGTGGGCTTCCCAAAAGCGCCAGGCACTGCTGCGTTTTCCTGAAGGTGACATTGGGATCTGTCTCATTCAAGGCCCACATGCTATGGAAGTGTTGTACCGACCGCGGCGTCGACTGCCTCCTTCATTATTCCAGAACAACATGAACACATGAGGTGTGAGGTGTGCTAGAAACTGACATGGAGTGTGAATGTTAAATAGTGATGCTGGCTGACAAATCAAGTGATTAGACTAAAATGAAGAAGAAACAAGTCAAGAGGAAGGTCAGAACAAATAATAACAAATAAATAAGTAATTGTTTTTCCATCCAATGGCAGCAGGGGGAGTGTTAAGAAAAAAAACAGTAAATTTTTGCAATTCCACAGGTGCCGTTTTTATGGTTGTTCAACAAATTTTCGCTGTGATGGGAAATTCAGTAATTTCAATGTGAATCCCAACCCGATCTCACAAGCAAATCGTACACATTTTAAAAGGTAGCTAATTAC